TGTGGGGAGCAGGGCATGGGGCTCTGTAGGGGGCACTCTGCCCCCCAGAGTCAGCGCTGCCCCCAATGCTGCAGCACTAGGGGGTGCTGTGCTGTGGGAAGCAGGGCGGGGGGGCTCGACAAGGGGGCGCGTCTGTCCCCAGACGTTAGTGCTGCCCCCAATGCTGCAGCGCTAGGGGGCGCTGTGCTGTGGGGAGCAGGGCGGGGGGGCTCAGAAGGGGGCGCTCTGCCCCCAGAGTCAGCGCTGCCCCCAACGCTGAACGTCGTCAGACGTCGCCGGTGTGGTGCTCTGCTCTGTCCGTTGTTGATAACGGGTGGCTGGGTGCGTGTGTTCCCTCTGCGTGCAGATCGCTGGCACACAGCTAGGGTGACCGACGACTGTCCCGATATTTAGTTGTTTGTCCCGCGTCCCGACCGACGCCGTTTGTCCCGATATTTTGGCTCGGCGCTGGAGGAGTCCACTGGTGAGCGCTCACCCTGGGTCCCGGCCGTGCTTATTTGGGGCGGCTCCCAGGAAATGGCGGGCAGCAGGACCCTGCGGCCCCTAGGCACAGGGGCGGCCCCTGCGTGCTGCACCTACCCCAAGCGCTGGCTCCATCGCGGCCAATGGGAGCTGTGGGTGCAAACAGGGCACAGAGACCCCTGGCTGACCCTGGGGAGCTGCGTGCGACTCACGCCCCCCAAGTAAGTCCCACCCCCACAGCGTCCGGCCAATGGTAGCTGGAGCTAGTGCTTGTAGCAGGCATAGCAGGTGGAGTGGCGATCCCGCTGGCCACCTAGGAGCCCGAGGAACCTGCCAGGTGCTTCCCAGTGGGTGGGAACCATCCCCCAGGTAAGCGGTGGGGCTGCGGGCGGGAGCCAGGGCCGTGCACCCCCGACCCGCGACTTCCTCAGGCTGTGTGTCCCCCTTCCCCCATGGCTCCAGTGGGGCGAGGGCTATGAGCCGGCGGCTGCCTCCCCCATGTGTCCCGATATTTTATTCTCGTCGTCTGGTCCCCCTAGGCACAGCAGACTCCGATAAGGTACGAAGGCACCTGGCCAGGTTTATTGCCAGACAAAACACAATCTCTTGCTCCCCAGATCACATGTCTACAGTTCTGCTAGTACATACGTGCTCCCTGACAAAGGACCGGCTCAGTCAGTGGTGGGATTTAACCACTGCCCCCTAGGCCAGACAAAGACAACCCCTCAGAGGTCCATTTTTATACACAGGTACAAACGAGTTACACCTCACTCCTGACGTCCTGAAGTACAACCCCCTCTACGTGTCAAGGTGCCACCTATCACCTTGTACATGTTGGTCCATACACTCGTGCCCCACCTGTCTTTAGTCTGCACATTCCCTCGAACGACTGATAGACAGATTTTATTATCCAATTATTTTTAGTCCCTTATGGTGGGCCTGGGAATGTTAGGCCTCAACGGAGATGTGGGTCTGTACTCGTGTCTTGTTAACTTCACTGTATGGTATGAGACGGCCTTTGCCGGTATTTGTTAGTCCACACCTGGGGCTTTGTTAAGGAAAAACAGATATTTAAATGATATAGATATGAATATATGGACATACATAAATTAATATATGTTGTGATTACTATGTGGCTGAAAAATGATCCTAGGTGATATATGAGGGGGCTTATATGCTGTATATGTTAGAAGTATTTGCTTTAACACCTTACTCCGTAAAAGGATTATTCATTACCACAGCAGTATTGTTTGCCATTTCCATCCCCTTCTTCACTCGGCCCTGTAGCTTGGCTTTCAGAGAATCATAGACTATCAGGGTTGGAAGGGATCTCAGGAGATCATCTAGTCCAACTCCCTGCTCAAAGCAGGACCAATTCCCAACTAAATCATCCCAGCCAGGGCTTTGTCAAGCAGGGCCTTAAAAACCTCTAAGGAAGGAGATTCCACCATCTCCCTAGGGAACCCATTCCAGTGCTTCACCACCCTCCTAGTGAAATAGTGTTTCCTAATATCCAACCTAGACCTCCCCCACTGCAACTTGAGACCATTACTCCTTGTTCTTGGTTTGACGTAGCATGTAACAGCACATTCCCATGAGAACAACAATGGTTAGGGCTTGGATTCCTGCCCCTGCCCTGGCCCTACCCCCATTCCACCCCTTCCCCAAAGTCTCTGCCCCCCCCCGCCTTTTCCCACCCCAGCCCCCTTTCTGCCCCCCATTCCATCCTTTCCCCCAAGTCCTC